ATGTAGAAAAAGAAAACTACAAGTGAGAATTTCTCAATATGTCATTTTTCATGTACTAAGTAGAAATCTGATTAAGCATATTTTAAACATCTATAGATTTTATAGAATTTATAAATACCAATAGTAAAATGTATATAAAAATAGCAATGTATACACACCTGTAACTTAACCTATTAAAAGTCTTTAGAGTACATTAATCAGAAAATATTCACTAAATGTGTTCTATGCTCCAGGCACTACTCTGAGTGGCCGGACTAGGAAAGGAAATCAGAAATAATTCTTGATAAGGAATTGACAGTCCTGTGGAGGACTGAGACAAGTAACAGTCATATATCCAGGAGGTAGGAGAATGTAAACTGAGCATCTCACCAAGGCTTTGTGTCTGAGATACTTTTCTACGGGGGAAAAACATGTCCAAATTGATACCTGAAGTTCAAACAGGACAGAGTCTAGATAAGAGTTAGTGGACAATTCTAGGCAGAGGAAGAGAACCTTCAAATACTATATATCAGGGGGCAAGGTGCATTGGGAAAACACAAGAAGCTCTAAATGTTTGAGTGTTACATTGTAAGAGAAAAGAGCTGTGAGGTCAGGCTATAGGGTAATCAGGGACCAGGTCAAAATCAGCCATGTTAAAGCACTTGGATTTGATCCTGGGGCAATGGTGAGACAATGGAAACCCTTCACAAGAGCTGCACACCCTCAGATTTGCATTCTTGTGGACAGTGCAATCACAGGTTGATGAATTAGGAGTCACGAAGACGAGGTTTGAGGGCAGTCTTAGTAAAGCAAGATGTGGTAGCCTTGACTTATGTAAATAATGCAAAAGAGAAAGAAATCAGGATAGATATTTAGGTGAAGCATAATACATATGAGACTAAGAAAAGATATCTTGGCTTAAAAATGAGTAAATTACTTAATAAACTCTCAGAAAGTTTGCCAAGAAGGAAGATTCCCTTTTTAATGCTTTGAGTTATGTGGTGATATAAATTCGTATACAGTATCCAATCTGAAAAGGAACAAAGTAAGATTTTTAATCCTGTGTAAGTTCATAGTAAAGTAAGTAACTGGTGGACATTTCATCACCCTCAGCAAATTTATTCATTATTTGCCATAAAATAATCCTCATCATTATTTATTTTCTATTATGTAAATGAAGAAAACATTCAAGTATTTTAAAATTTTAGAAGCATTCTAATTTGGTATATATTTAGGCCTTACTTTAATGGTATAATATTGCTAGAAAAAGCATTTGTTTCATAAATCCCTTTGAAATCATTTCCTAAAGTTTGTCTTTACCACATAATCATATCCCTCTTTTTATACTGCATTTTGCTGGTATAAATAGACATGCAGAGATCGAGTTCCAGTCAGTAATAACAAGCTAACCGTATATGGTACAATTAATTTTTTTACTAAGCTAAATAAATGAGGTATTGTTTTATTCATACTTAAAACTGAAAGCTTTTAGATTATATGTGTGCATTAGTAAACCATTATGCCCTGCATTATTACTGGCTTTTTTTTTTTTTTTTTCAAAAAGAGGCTGCCCACTTGACTACATTTTATTAAATGTCTTTTTAAAAAATAAATTGTGAAACACTACTTCCATTTCCAATAAAGATCTCCTCTTTTTATTGTATTCTTAAATGCAAAACAAGTCCAAAGTTAATTGCGGTAACCTATCACTTTTCTTTGCAGAATGCAATATAACTCCTACGGGATCATTTAACATTCCTACCAATCACCAGTTTCAGTGCACTTTCATACCAAATTCATTAGCAAGGGAAGGCAACCACATTAAATGGGAAAGAATTTATCCCACTCCAGTAAGCTGTGCTTTGTGCCTAACACTGTGTCTTTCTATGCAGCATTTAATCTCCTGATTCCACTCTAACAATGTTACACATTCTTATAAGTCTAACATTTGAATTTAGAAATCTGTTTGCCTTAAAATGATACCAGACAATTCAAAGACAAACCTATATGTTTCCGTTTTTTGCAAAATATAAGAGAGTATGTTTTTCTATTATTTCTTAACCGTGTGATATTTATATCATCAAAGCACATTTGTGATATGTGGTATTTGCTTTCAAAATCAGTAGGTAATAAAAATTAAGTAGTTTTCGTTGTTATAAGGTGATATGTATTGAATTGTTTCAATACAAGTAAAAGAATATCTATATAAAATTTAAATTTGAACCATCATGTTAACAATTACCTCTTCTATAAACGACCTGGTATCTTAGCTCATGAAATGTCTCTAATGAGGAAGGAAGCCTGGTAAGTAAGCACACAGTCTCTTGACACCTTATTAAACAGACAGATCTCGTACAATGCCAGCTGTAGCCACATTCTTCAGGAACAATGAATAAGATCAGAGTAAAAAGATTTGGCAGTCTGAGGAATCTGGTCACAAGCACTACTTTTAATACCAGTCCAGAGCCTCTTCTGACCATCACCATTTCCTTCAGTGTCCTCAACTGCATGATTTACATATTCATATATAATTATTCTCATTTTGTGATTAATCTCCTTTCCCTCTTGTTAGGGATTGAATTGTGACTCCTTGAAATTTGTATGTTGGACCCCTAACATCCAATGTGGCTGAATTTGCAGCTCAAGGAGACACCCATCTGCATGCCAAGGATAAAGACCTCAGGAGAAACCAACCCTAATGGCGCCTTAATCTTGAAGGGCTGTGTGTATGTTTTCACATAAATACTTACTTCTCATGGTATGCTCATGCACTGCCTGACTGAAATAGGAAGCAGGTGATCAGTGACAGGAGTGAAATCCCACCAGCCTTACATGGGCGGGGGGCGCAGTGCCAAATATGTGAGTCCCTTGATGGCTTTAACCTTACAAAGTTGAGGCTCACTCACAGAATGGAATAAAAGCATCCTTATCTGTTCTCAATTTGCTTACTTGATGTTTCCTTACTTGTAATGGGAGTGAATCATGAAATTGTATCATCTCTTTCAAGAATGGAAGCAGTTTTCCAAACCAACAATTACTCATATCCTTTAGGAAAAAATAATTCCAGTCAGTTTCTTAGTATTATGACCTTAGTCTATGTACAAATTTCATCCAAAAGAACGTAGATGGCCATTCTGGCAAACTGATTTGATGAATTTTGTGCGATCCAGAATATCATTTCTGCATTCAAAGAGAACCTCAACTCTTAAGAATATCAGAAATTCACTGACATGGCCTTTAACAAATCCAGATATATCCTTCAGACATCTGCTCTACAGTGTTAAAAATTTTGCCAAAATACAATTATATTAATGAGAGGAAAAAGCAAATATTGAAGGGATGACTGATGGACTGCCATGGTTACACTGAGATGAGATTGTCTTCTCTGGGGTAATTGTGAAGTCCAGCATTTCTGGAATGAAAATCATTTCTGTTATAGTGATAGTGGGAGTAAACCTCATTGTCTACATTATCAGTCCCTATAACAGTTTAAAAGGAAAAGTGGTAGTCAGATGCCATGCCAGGGAGACACTCATTCACCAATTTTTCCATGACACTGGAAATTTTCATCCTGCACAGATCCAACCTAGATACCATTAAGTGAGAGAAAGTCATTCAGAATCCTTCCCCTCATACATCATATGTCAAAGAGGTAAAGAGATCATTGTGTCTAATAGGGGAAATATGTGGGCATGCGAAAACACACATACCCCTTCAAGATTAAGGTGCCATCAGGGATGATTTATCCTGGGGCCTTTCTGCTTGGCTTGCAGGTGGCTGTCTTCTTGAGGTGTCCTCACATGGTCTTTTTCTGTGAAGGCACTCTCCTGTGTCTCTTCCTCTTCTTATAAGAATACTGGGCCTATTGGGCTCCATGTTCATGATCTCATTTAATCTGAATTACCTCCACAAAGGCCCTTTTCCAAATTCAGTCACACTGGATGTTAGGGGTTTAACATATAAATTTTGAGGGGACGTCAATTCAATTGAAAACAAAGAGAAAAGTATATTAATTAAAAAGCTTTTCCAGAATCCCAAATAGTGTTGGATATAGATATTGTCAGTAAAATATAAAGAAGAAAGTGAATCTGATACATATTTTGGATATATAATGAGCAGGGTAATGGTAGATGGTGTCTCCTTCCTCCTCGCTCTGATTTGAGGCGATATTTATTGCTATTAGCTAGACCAGAAGAGACCAACTCTGAAGCTAAGGAAGGAAGGAGACACAGGTTCGTATTTGTCATAAATGTGTGATAATATGCTTATGAAATGCCTCAGGAACATCTCCTGGAAGAGTATATACCTAAAATAATTTTATATGCCAACTGAAATATACTTTAGTTAAGAGGATTGAAGAAATGAGGGCTGTGGAATAAATACATTTGGTGAATAGAGACTAGCATTTGTAATAGCTCTTGGATGGCAAAAACATTTTTCACATGGTTCGTGGGTCTAGTTAGAGAGGAAAACAATTTTTCTTAGGTCCAATTCACCTTGTGAGAGAATTTGGCTTTATTCTAAATTCAAAAATCAGTTTTCTTGGGAATTTGCATCATAAGAGATCTAACTACAAAAAGGTATATAGAAAACAGTCCGCTTGGTACTTCTCAAATAAAACTCCTTATTTATAAATAAAGTACTTTTATTTGGTCAGGAAAAAACACCTTATATGATTGTGTTATGTTTGATCCAAAAATAAAATGGTACACAGAAAAAAAAACTTGGCAGTAATAATTTTCTGAGCATCAGGTGGAATAATCACATTGAATTTATTTTCCATAGAAACTCCTAGAGCTGGAACATGAATAATGTTAATATTGATTCAGTCAGAGAACTTTCAATGTTTCAAACTTGATATTAGATTACTTGGATATTAATTAATGGGATCATCATCAAAGGCCAAATGACACCTTACATATTTATAACGAATCAGTATTAAGTTATAATTTTAAAAATCATACACTATTGAATAAAATATCTATATTTGTATTGATCTACCCTCCTCTACTTGTTTTTAGATGTATGATAATCGGCTTTGGGTGTTAAAGCAGCTAGGCTTTCTTACACAAGCAATGATTGAATTAAAGGCTAACAACAGTGAGAGCTTCACCAGAGCAGATCTTGGGGAATGTAAGTAAGGAGCTCCCAACTGGGTTTTGTTTTGTTTTGTTTTGTTTTTCTGAGACAGGGTCGCACTCTGTTACCCAAGCTGGAATGCAGTGGCACAATCATGGTTCACTGCAGTCTCCATCTCCTGGGCTTAAGCGATTCTCCCACTTCAGCCTCCCGAGTAGCTGGGACTACAGTTATGAATGGCCATGCCTGGCTAATTTTTGTATTTTTTGTGGAGATGGGGTTTCACCATTTTGCCCAGGCTGATCTCAAACTCCTTGGCTCAAGCAATCTGCCAGGTTTGGCTTCCCCAAAGGGTAGGATTATATGTGCAACAGAATTGTTGCATATGGAACAAGAAGACAGTTAACAGCTGATACAGTGAGTATCATTACAGGTAGCTGTGAACTTCATCATTCTGGCTAACAAATTAAATTTAAGCTGGTCTTTTTGAAAATCTCAACCATGAATTATATGATTCTTGAAAGTATTATAAGCAGTTTTACTCTTTTATGGAATATACTTTCTGTAAAGATGAGGATTTAGTGAGCTGTTGAACTTGATTTTGAAAAAAAGGTGAAATCTAGATTATTATAATTTTAGTACAAGATTAATAACTGTATCACTTTCATTCACAAAAGTTTTACAATGCAGGATTAGTTTAAAAATATTAGATGAGAGTTGGTCATGGTCCTTTATTTTCATCTGCTGGTTTTCTTTATATTTTTGTCTTTTCCTTTAGCTATTTTGGATAAAGACTATCTTAATTATTTTCTATGAAAGATTGAGCCTTATATAATCATTGAAATAATGTGAATATCCCTGTAGAGAAAAATAATTTGATCCTACTTATATGTGAATGTATTTATCATAGATTTTTGCTCAACTTAGCACAATTAATAATTGTGGGCACAAAGTATCAGTCACTGTAAAAACATGCACATTTAGATGTTATTTCATAAAACTTTAGCCATTGCACTATGAATACTAAAATAAAATAATGATTACAAATACCTCAGCTTTGGGCATCGAAAAAGAAACTGTCATATAATTCTTACTGATTACAAGCTATCAGTGGCTTATTGAAATATTAAGATAAAAATGTTATTATAAACACAATGAATCATGTTAGTGATAAGAAAATTTTTACATTAAAGTTTATATATACTAGGGAAGAGACTCCAAGAGCCATAGACAGCTAACTAATGGTAAGTATTTGCATTAGAGGTCATTATATTTCTCTACTCACCTACACAAAAAATTAGGTTTTAACTAATCAATAACAATAGTGTATAATCACATAATCTTAGATCTGGAAATTTCTTTACTTAAGTGTAAACTGGTCTCAGCTTCCTTCCAAAGTAGGCATGCATCAACTTTAATTTCTGGCAGATGTTTTCTCAATCATATTTAATAAGAAATAAATTCAAATTTGAGAGCACCTTGTGGTGGACTCTCCAATATCATTCTCTTCCTCCCAAATCAAGTATAGGTTTACTGAATTAGCCTCATTAGGAATGATCCTGGTAATCTCATCTCTTTTGCTTGGTTTAAGAAATTCCTGTGACCAAACTGTCAACAATAAGACACAAAGAGATATATGTTAAGAACATATATCCCCAATTGCTATTGACGACTGTTCATTGATCATGAGGAGAATCAGGCTTAGAATGAAGCAGACAAAAAGAATAAAAACAAGCAGAGTTGCAATAAAAAAAAAGTGGATCCTTAAAGACCTGAGTGTGTAACTCATCTAACCAATCCTGAAACCCAAATTACCTCTAAGTATTCTTTTAAGTGAATGAATACATTTGCTTATCGTTTAAGTGAATTTCAGTTGAATTCTCTATTTCAGTAATTGCAGCTGGAAAATGCCAAATAGTAATAAAACCACTCTCTAAATTAATAATCCTTCTTTATATGCTTGCCACTGTGTTAAATTCCCTCTGAGTACAATATATATGAAGTGGGCCTCATGTTTTTGCCTTTGAAAAATCCACTGTGACATAGTATACTTCTATTCAAAAATGTGCTATTTAATTAATGTTTGAATTTCTCCCTCCTCAATGACCTTGTTTGTTCCAAACACATAGCTATAAGAGACAAATTATCAGAGGAAAAATGATAAATAATATGCATTTACAATGTAATGCATACCATGGATAAGAGTAACACTAACACAGTAGACATATGGACCACCAGACTCAGAAGCAGGCAGAAATGTCCAGGAATTCATATTTTAAGTTAAAAGAAAGCAGAATGTCAACACTTTCAATGAGGGTCAGAGATTTAGAAACAATTGTAATGAAAAAAGGTCATGGTTAGATGTTGACAAACTAAACGAAATAAATTAAAGGACACAACACAGTCTTTCAAGTGAAGCTTATAAACTTGATAACTTAGAAATTCAGAATAAAGTAAAATCTATCCTTATGCAGAATTTGAATTAACATACATGATGACTGTTTGACTGTATGTGTGATACTGTCAGTATCACCACAGAAGAGGATTTCTGAGTCTTCAGTGTAAGAGACATATCTGACCTGAGGCATGGAAGAAAAAAAAGACAATAAAAACATCAAGTAGGAGATAAAGTCAGATAAATAAAGAAAAGGTGAACTCTAGATTAGCTAAAAAAAAAAAAAATCCAAAAGTTAAGAAGAGTTTTGTCACTAAGCAGGTCAGCAAACCACATCAGAAAACAAAATTCAGATAAAAGTGAAAATAATACAGCAATCTAAAAATTCTATGTATTTGTATGTAGCTTAACAATATACAGAAAGTTATATATTTTTTAAATAGGCTAATTAAAACCTTAAAAAATAAAGCAAAAATCCTCTAAGGGCAGATGGGAAGGCAAATAGAAATTCTAAATGTAAAACACTAATCAGTGAAATAACAGAAAAGAAATTCTATTTTAACAAATTCTAACATAGTCAAAATACAATAATAAGATGATTAGTGGGTTGGAAAAATATATAGGAAAAAATTGTCTATTATGTAGAACCTTATAAAATATCTCATGAAAATGTAATTAATTGGCCAGGTGAGGTGGCTCCTGCCTGTAATGCTAACACTTTGGAAAGCTGAGGATGGAGGATCATCTGAGGTCAGGAGTTCAAGACCAACCTAGCCAACATGGTAAAACCACTTCTCTACTAAAAATACAAAAATAAGTCAGGCGTGGTGGTGTGTGCCTGTAATCCCAGCTACTCAGGAGGCTGAGGCAGGAGAATTGCTTGAACCCAGGAGGTGGAGGTTGCAGTGAGCGGAGATCATGCCATTTTACTTCTGCCTGGGCGACAGAGCAAGACTCCATCTCAAACAAACAAACAAACAGTAATTAACTGTATACTGTGGAGTACTTTGTCACTGTTTCTTTTATTTAACATAATCTTTACAAGGTTCATTCATGTTGTAACATGTATTTTTTTATTGCCTAATAAGTTTCCATTATTAATACAGTAGTGTTAATAAATGGATGTATCACATTTTATCTATTTATCAGCTAATGGATATTTGAATAATTTCCATTTCTTGGCTATTATTAATGATGCTGCTGTGAATAATTGTGTATAGGCTTTTGTGTGAACATATACTTTGATCTCTCTTTGGTATATATCTCGGAGTAAAATTGCTGGGTCACATGGTAACTCGGTAACTCTGTGTTTGACCATTTGGAGAATTGCCAAACTGCTTTCCAAAGTGTCTGCACAATTTTAGACCCTCTTCTCAATACTTATTATTACTATGCTGTTTTGTTTTGTTTTCAACTTTAGACATGACAGTGAGAAATAATATCTCATTCTAGCTTTGATTTGCATTTCCAAAATGACTAACCTGTTGAGCTTGTTGTCATGTGCTTATTTGCCCTTTGTGTAATCTCTTTGGAAAAAAGTAAAGAACTATTGATTTCAATATTTACTTATTTTAAAATGTGGTTATTTGCTTTTTTATTATTGAATTGTAATAGCTTTTTATATATTATAGAGACAATCTTTTATTAGATATATGATTTGCAAAATTTCTCTCATGCTGTGGGTTATCTTTCAATTTCTTGTTGATTCCTCTCACAAGTCTATTATGTTAATATATCCGATTTCTTTTTCATTGCTTATCTTTTTTTGTCATATCTAAGAAATAATTGCCTACCCCAAAGTCAAGATGACATACACTCCTTTATTTTCTAAATGTTTTATAATTTTAGCTCTTGCATGTATGTCTTTTATGTCTTACTATTTATTTACACCCATTTCTAGTTCATTTTTATACATGCTTTGAGGTAAGGACCATCTTGGTTCTTTTTCTTACTAATATCAAGTTATTCCAGAACCATTTGTTGAAAAGACTATTTTTTCCCCACATTGGATTTTCTTCACACATTATTCAAAAATAAATTGACTGTAAATGTGAAGTTTTATTTCTGGACTTTTAAATCTAGCCCATTTTTCCATGTGACTGCCTATTCTTATGCCAATACCACACTGTGTTTATTACTGTAGCTTTGTAGTTCATTTTGAAATTGAGACCTACAAATTTTTTAACCTCATTCTTCTTTTCAAGATTGTATCAGTTATTCTGGATCATTTGAATTTCCTTTTATGTTTTAGAAAAGACTTGTTAATTTCTGCAAATAAATCATTGGATTTTTGATAAGGGTTTTGTTGACTTTGCAGGTCAATTTGGAGACTATTGCCATCTTCACAATATTAAGTCTTCTGACCCCTGAACATGAGAATGGCTTTACTTGGGTCTTTCTAATTTCTTTCAACAATGTCTAATGTAATGCTTTAGACATTTCTTTTGTGACATTTCTTTCTAAGCACTATATTATTGTTGATTTCATTACAAATTGAGGCTTAATTTTTTTTTGTTTTCATTTCACTTTTGGTTTGTTCATTGGTACTGTATAGAAATATAATAGATTGGTGTATATTTACCTTGTATCTTACAACCCTATTAAACTCACTTATTAATTCTAAAAGTTTTTTCTTTATACCAGATCAAATAATCTAAATAGAGACATTTTTACCTCTTCATTTCTAAAACAGATGTCTTTTATTTCATTTTCTTCCTTAATTGCACTGGCTAGAACTTGCAGAACGATATCAAATAGAAGTGGTAAGAGCAGATATCTTTCTCTTATTCCTGAGATTAAGGAAAAATCATTCAGTCTTCACAGTTAATTATAATTTTTTCTGTGTATTTTGCATAATGCAAAACCAAGAACACAGAGGAAGAGACAAGAACTGCTGACACTTGTTCCCTGGGAACAAAACTGACCCTCAGGAAAAAAATCTGGCAATGTATACCTAACTACACATAAAGCTTGTTATAACCTTTGCCTTCTTTTTGCCTGTTTTTCTTTCCCTTCTGAAATGAGTTATTTTGCAGTTATTATTTCTCTCACTATTGTAAGCTGGATGTGTTGCAGATCTTCAGACCTAAAGAGATTTATCCCCACCTGGAATTGATCTAGATAATAAAACCTGAATGCCGATTTCAGCCTAGTCTGATGAAAGGAAGCTTTAATATTTGTTGAAAAGAATGGCTGTATTTTACATCAGAGAGGAATTTGAATAATTTGATGAACATAGGAAAAACTGTAATGTATTTAAAAAAAACCCTTTATATTTTTTGAAACAATCATATGAAGGACATTTGTGTGTGTGTGTGTGTGTGTGTGTGTGTGTGTGTGTGTGTGTGTGTTTTACTCAGCTCAAAAAATAAACAAGTAAATAAGAAAGAAAGAAATATTTTTAAAAACCCATTAAGCTGAAATTACAAAGGTAGAAATAATTATAAAGCAGTCTATTCTCCTTTGAGGCACAAAGCCAATACTTTGAAATCAAATTTTATGAATTAATTGATACTCTTGTAAATGAACCTTCAGGTCAAACAAAGCTGAACAGCTCTCTGATAGGCTACCTTATAAAAACAAGAGGGCTATGTTTATAGGATCTATGCCTTCATCAAAAGGGAAGCTCTGGAAAATTTTTGCCTGGCTGAAAGCTAAAGGCAAAAGGAAGCCTATCGTTAGGCTGTCTGATTTTATAACTAAAAAATCTAAAAGAAATAAATATATTAACAGTAATAATGCTTGCTCAAAATATTTGAAGCCATAATCCTACCTTCAAATGAACCTGGGTCTTACAGTTATGATCACTCCTCCTTACTGTGTCAAGTAAACTTCATGTCAAGATCTTAAATTTAAGAACATTGAGCTATGTGTAATTCTGGAATGTGGCAGAAGCCAATACAAAACACCTTGTAGAAAAACTTCTTACTTCTCTCAAAATTTACTCAAATTAAATTAGCCAATTAGAACAATAGAACCCTAACCCAATCAATTAATAAAGAAATAATAAACCTTGCAATGACAGTAATATTAAAAATAAGCAACTACTTGAGGCAAGTGCTTTAAACTTTCAGATATTAGAATGATCATATATACTATACAGAGTAACCATGTAGAAATAAAATTTTTGAAATGGCCATGAATGAATCTGCTTAAAATTATCACTCATAAATAGAACAAAAGGAACATAAAAATGAAATGACAATAATCAAAATAAAATATATTTAATGGGTTGGTTTGAATAACAACTTAGAGGTAGCTGACAAGACAATTAATTTATAAAATTATAAGAAATTATTCAGAATAGGTGAAATATAAAATGTGAAAAATTAAAGAATATACATAATGGAATGAGGCGTGCCATAGGTCTAATAAGAATTTCCAGAGGGAAAAAAGTAGGAGAAAATTACTCAAAATGAAAATAGTAATTTTTTTTCCAAAACTGCTGAAAGAATAGAAACTACTAATAAACTAACATAAACTATTGCAAGTAGAATTAATAAAAGTAAATCTAGAGCTAGATATAATATTGTGACACTTTAGAACACCAAACACAAAGAAAACACAAAGAGAGTAGACACCACCACCAACAAAAAATACAAATAACATTTTAACAGTTTTCAAACAACATCACTGAAAAAATAAAGACAAAAGACTATGTAATAATACTCTCAATTGTTAAAGAAAACAACTTTCTTCCTGACATAATACTGTAATTGCCTAAATAATTATTCAAATTGGAGAAAATAAATGTTTTTCAGAAAGCAAAATATTATTGTAAACTGCCACTAATGTTACACAAAAGAGAAATTTCTGAAGTTATATACTTCAATAGAAAGTCAAGAATGATTATCAAAGAAATTGATATCGTTGTGAGTAAATCTAAAGTAATACCATATCAAATGATAATATCTAATCTATAGGGTTAAAATCAGTAATTCAAGATACAGCTACAATACATGACAGTGTAGTGTGAACTATGAATAGTGTGTAAAGTGATTAGGAAGAGTTAGAATTGTTCAAATAGTAGCAGCATTGGTTAATTTTGGATTTTTCATTGTAGTATATATGAAATACTTTAAAGAGTCTACAAATAAAATAGTAGTAAAATATATTGTTTCTAAATTAGTGGAGAGAAAAAATTAGAAAGAATATTTAATTCTAAAATTATTTTAAAATGGGAAAAAATATAAAGTTGAAAATTCTGTGCCAAAATAAGTCAATGTACTACAATAATCAAAACAAATTTAAATATATTGAATTTACTAGTTAATAGAATTTATCAGATTTGATTAAAAATTCACCCATTTACTGTTTGTAGGAAAAATATAAATATAAGAATGTGTAAGATTGTGTATGAAAACATTGAAAAACAAAATGCCAGGCAAATGACAAGCCAATGATACATGGGGCATTTATATACACATCAGACACAAAAAAAGATACTCATCAAAAATAAACAATTTCAAACTTGATGCACCCAATAAGTAAGTCTGAAAATATATAAAACAAATCTACATCATCCTAGAAGAGATAAACAGATCTTTTTAAACTATGATTAGTCCTAGAATCACAGTTATATAATGAGATGTAAACAGTTAAAATCAATAATTTATATAAGATTATAGAAAGCTGTACCAATGAAACTGTATATTTTCTCAAATATGAGATTTTTATTAAAATTCAACATATTCAAATTAGTTGTCCATACAGGCAACCTATGAAATGGGAAAAAATTGCAAACCTTGTATCTAATACAGGGTTAATATCCAAGATACATAAGGAATTCAAAAAGCCCAATAAGCAAGAAAACAAATAACCTAATTTAAAAATGGGCAAAGGATCTGAATAAACACTCAAAAGAAGACATATAAATTATCAACAAGTATACAAAAAAATGTATAATATCACTAATCATCAGGGAAATGAAAATTTAAAACATAATGATATATTATGTCATACCTGTTACAATGGCTATTATCTAACAGAAGAAAGATATGTGTTGACAAGGATATCAAGAAAATGGAGACCTTGTACACTGTTGAGTGGAATGTACATTAGTAGAGCCATTTTGGACATAGTATGGAGGGTCTTAAAATATCAAAATATATAACTACTATAAGATTTAGTAATTCTATTTCTGCTTATCTATCCAGAAGAAATAAAATTTATATATCTTCATTTTCAGGTTCATTGCAGCATTATTCACAATAGCTAAAATAAAAGGTCAACCTGAATGTCCATCCATGGACAAACGAATAAAGAAAATGTGGTATACATACAAAATAGAATACCATTCAGACTTTGGAAAAAGAAACCCTGTCATTTGCAACAACATAGATAAACCTAGAGGGCATTATGGTAAGTAAAATAAGCCAGACACAGAAAGATACTAGATCCTCTTATTTTTATGTCAAATCTGCAAAAGACAAACCCATAAAAGCAGAGAGTAGAATAGTGGTTACCAGGTCCTGGGGTAGGCAGTGAGATGGGAGTGGAGAGATGTTGGTCAAAGGACACAAAATATCAGACTAAGGAATAAATTCAAGAGATCATTATACAACATGGTGACTATAGTTAAAAACAACATATTGCATACTTGTAAATCACTGAAAGTAAAATTTAACTGTTCTCATCATAAAAGATAATTAGTGAGGAAACTCATATGTTAATTAGCTTTATAGTGCCACTCCACCAAAATGTCTACATTTTCATAAACATCATGTTGTAGATTAGCAATATATATATAATTTTAATTTGTCAACTAAAATTGAAGGTATTAATTTAAAATAGCTCTCAATACTTTTCACAGGGTTGCATGGAAATTAATGTTTCCAACTAAGTAGCAAAAAAAATAATAGCAGAAATGCCTCAAAAAGGTGCTAAAAACAAACATACATTATTTTTAAACATGCCAAACAATAATTCTCTGATGCCGTCTGCTTAAATATATTAAGAGAGCCAATAACCATTTAGTTGCTGAACCAATTTACCCTCTTTTTATATAAAAATCAATGCCGTTATTATTTAACCTTTATAGTTAATTCTTATGCTGGCAGTTGTAAATAATTGACTTCAACTTTGTGTATAAATCACCATTTGATAATACCAGATATTAGTAATGCTGAGGGGAAAGTACATTTTTCTACAGGCTGAGTACACAGGCAGTCAGAAGTAAGTTAGTGTTATTTATTAATCATTAGAATATGATATTAAATATTTTATACAAATTTGGTTATGTTCAATTTTTATATCAATTGCTATTTATTGCCATTCTCTACTCCTGAATGGCACAAGAAAAAAATTTTCTCTAAATATTTTTCTCTTCTTGCCAGACATCATTCAACTTGAGGAAAAGAACTGAACTAACCCAACTGATGCGTTTGAGAGAAAAAACTGCACACATGCAGGTGAACAACTTTTTCTCCCTCACTTGAGTGTCCGTCTGTCTATGGACTATGTCTTTTCTGCTTTTCTGTGCCATTAGTTTTAGAGGACGGATGGGTTGGCAGATAGATTACAATTTTAGATAGAAAGTTAAATTCAAACAAGTGTTCAAATTTTTTCCTTGGGCCAAGAATATATTTTTTAAAAGAAGAGTTATAGAATTTGGGACAATAGCTTTTAAACAGAAATCGAAACGTTTTACATGACAAAGGTGAGTGAATTTAAACTCTAGTGGTGTTTCTTAATGATAAACCCCAAGCAATTTCTTGAATTTTATTGCCTGTGATTGCCTCTTTTGTACAGTAGGACTGCTTTTACTATTGTGTGACAGACACCTGGGCAATGTTGATTGACAATTGTCCATGGATTTCTTGCCTTTCTTCACAATTTTGACAGTACTTATTTCAGAAAATCTGTTCAAATATGTTTGTATAAAACATAATATAAATATAGTTTTGGAATATAAAGGTAGTTCCTCCCTCTAGGAGACAGGGCAAATCTATTTGCTCTCTAGGAGACTAAAGACAATGTCTCCCCCTGGGCAAAGACAGGGCACACATGCCACTAGTCTTCTTATAAAGTTGAAAGTGTTTTAAGCTGTGGTTTCACAACCATGACACAAATTTACTACGTGTGCAGCTCCTACTTGGGCCATTTCTCATCCTCCTGTGGGAGACGAAGTAATGCAAACATAAAACTCATGTTGCCAGTGCCACGAGTGATAAAGTCCTTTGTCTCTAACCTAGGAATCTTGCTTCTTCTACCAGTATCTATGAAATCATGGATGGTTAATTTGTTAGCTCATGGAGTGAAATATCAAACCATTCTCAGATCTTAAAGAAAGAGGCATTAAGTCCTAGGTCATATGCTATTTTGATATTTTGATTGACATTCTGATGTCTATATTTACAGAAAAATATATTTTAAAAAATTCTATTTAGAAGTTACAGTTTAACAAAAGGTCCATAGGTTTCAGCAGAGCAAGTCTTTACAAACGGTCTGAATAAGATTAGAGATCTCAGAAGCTAAGAATGGTATGGAAGGGCTATATTGGCAGCTTCAGACAAATGATAGGACTTTACATTGATAACTCGCTTCTGGTCACTTTTGCTATGAAGAATTCCTATCCTAATTTGCAAATGAGGATGGAGCAGCATTATAAATCTTTAGTTCTAGGTGAGGAAAACCACCAATGCTGCTAACCTGAAAGGCAGTTAAACTCTACTGGTGCTGCACAACTCGAATGAGATTCTAACTTTACATCATTATTCTCATTCAGTGTTGATACATCTGTCGACCCAATTTTTTTTCTTAAAATGACCTTCAGCGTCTAAGGAAGAAACTCTGGGAGTGACTGTCCTTGAATTAATGTAGTTTGTTCAAGTTTACTCTGTTCATTTCAAGGCCCATAAACATAACATTAGTTTTCTGAAATGAAAATTATGACTTTAATCAAAGAATGGGAAATACATTTAATAATGAATATTTACAAAAAGTATTTATGATAAGTTCTTCTTACAAAAGTACAAAACACCCTTTGTAAGGACAACTTATCGTATTGGATTGAAGACCAACTTATTATATTAGATTTCACTGAAACTCCTAAGATCTTTCTAGCCCTTGCCACTAAATGCATTGTTCATGAATCATTGGTGCTAATCAGGATATATACACATCCTCATCTATTTCTCATACCACCATCCAAGAATTAAAAGTTGCATATTATGAAAACTTTGGGGTATTTTTTACTTGTGTTGCAAGTTTGACAAATACAGCCTTAATAGAGCCTACATTGTTCCTGGGAATTAGGATTGCTGTGAAAAATCAAAGATAAGCTAAAGTGTTTTGAAAAATGCTTCTTATCAGCAAAGGAGCAGTTGAAAACATGAAGACCTGAAGATAAGTTGACTAAGCTGGAGGTGGAAAGAAGTTTCCTCAGGTGGAAGCATGAACTCTAAAGAGCAGACTGTACAAATAAAACAGGAAGGATTAAAGATTAAAAGTTAGGATAGATTAATCTAAAAAGGCAAAATAAATACTCCTGATTGTTTAAAAAGATACTTTCGGCCAGGTGTGGAAGCTCAAGCTTGTAATCTCAGCACTGATTTCTTTAGCTCAGGAGTTCGAGACCAGCCTAGGCAACAGGATAAAACCCTGTCGCTACAAAAAAAAACACACAAAAATTAGGTCATGGTGGCATGAATCCGTGTTCCCTGCTACTAGGGAGGCTGAGATGAAGGGATGCAGAAGGCGGACATCGTAGTGAGCTGATATCGCAACACTGCATTCCAGTCTGCTCCCCAAAGTGAGACCCTATCTCAAAAAGAAAAAAGAAAAAAAAAAAAACAGAGCAAACCAAAAAGCTATATTTTACCCTTACTAGGTCAGAAACAGTGTCTGGAGCCCTACAAAATATAACAGAAGATAAGAAAGAATCAGGTCTCAGAGAGCAAACTAGAATGACTTTTGCAGAGTCCTTGGGTCCAGAAAACAATTGAGTAGATGCTTCTTCCTAAAGCTACAGATTGGGAATGAAAAATCTGTACACAGATTTTTTGTAAACACCTGTACACAGGTGTTTACAAAAACTTTGGGCAGTTTTAAATGGACTACAGCAGGGAGACATTGTAAAATATTTGAAGAATTACTAGGTGAATTTCAAGGTGACTCCATTTTTGTCTATGTGAATCCTATTATTTCCTGAGGGTCCTAAGGATATACAATTATGAATATATGGAATTAAAATTCTAAGAGAAGACAAACAATAAAATGTGTTAAGAAGACGCCAGATAGGATAATAATAGATGGAGACAGGGCTAGAGTTTATGAAGAGAACACTCCATGGGAAAAACCTTCTGGGTGGAATAATTCAATGAATGTAAACACATTATTTGAATAGCAGATGATTTGGTAGTTACAAAAGACACTGATAATGAAACCTCACTTGAATTATGGGAGATCCCTCAATTTCAGTTCTTAAAGGATATGTTGGAACAATGTCTGAGACAAGAAGCAAATGGAAATGGCATTTTAAAGGATTCAAACAAAAACTACCTTGGATAGGCAAAGGCAGAGTTGAACTACAAATGGTTTAAGCTATTATAATTTCAACTAAGGCTTTTAAAAGGGAAAGAAAAACACTAGAGACATATCCCACAATAGAAAAATTGCTACTGTAAAAAAATGTTCACCAGAAAGAAATGCTATCAAATTTCTGCATTATTCAAAAGAATAAAAAAGACAGCATGATAAGAAGCACAGCAGATGCAGCTTTAGTTCAGAAAACCCTAGTGGATAAATTTCCAGCTGAAACAAATGTGTGGTTGGGAGAAATCTGCCTAAGAGAGGAGGTTCATAGGCTTAAGTTGCCATGTGGCACAGGATATAGAAGACTGCTCACAAGAGATAGTAAAGGCCATGTCACTAGCAGAGACTACCTCCATGTAGTGTTGCCATGCCAAAAATGTGGGGCTCCAAGGAGAATTGTAAATGAAGAATTTGAATATGCTGGATGATAAAGAAAGGCTTGTCAAATAAGACCTGGTGATTGAGACTGTCACCATTGCAAATTTCTAAACTTTGCCAGAAGGCAGTAATATCTCAAATGCTGTTCTAAGTGAGGGAACATTTGCATAATGGAATTTCCCCCCAGATATCCTAAACATAGTGGCATAACTAACCTCTTTTTGTAAGATATTTTCCCAATCCATCCTATATTCACAAACCATGGACTCTAGACCCCTGCATCAAGAAATGGTACTTTGGCAAAGCTAAAATCTAGATGTTACCTTTTTGCCCCTTCCTCAGATATTGAATTTGTGGTATGGTCTATGGCAGCAATCAGTGTGGGCTTCTGAAAAAAAAATTGCCTTGTGTAACTGCACTAGTGCTCAAACTTTGATACATTTTCCAAATTTATTGGAAGATATGCCAGTGCTAGAATTAATTTCATGTCTGTGGATTTTTAAACTGAAGAATATCAGAGCCTTGTTACTGATCAACAATTTCTTTAGGAACTAGCCCATTTCAGTAAGATACCAAAATCATAGCTACTCAAGAAGCCACGGCTCCACCAGCTTGCAGAATTTCTTTGGCTTACATAGAGGAACTGTGAAATAAGATGGAATAAAAATTTGGCAAAATGATTAATGTAATAATTTTTTCCTTTGAACTATTTATGATATTATTTTGGGATTAATTTTCCATAGCTAATGAAGAAAATTTAATTTGTAAAGAAAATTTATGATTGAACCTATGAAACAAATTCAATGATATCCAGAAAATTTAAACTGAACCCCTTCTTTACATTTTACTTAAAATTAACTCAATATAGATTAAAGACTTTAATGTAGAACCCCAAACTATGAAAATCCTAAAAGAACATCTAGGCAATACCATTCAGGACATAGGTACAGGCAAAGATTTCATGATGAAAATGTCAAAAGCTATAGCAATAAAAGCAAAAATTGACAAATGGGATCTAATTAAACTGCTTCTGCACAGCAAAAGAAACTATCATCAGACCGATCAGCCAACCTACAGAATGGGAGAAAACTTTTTGCATTCTCTCCATCTGAAAAAGTCTAATATGCAGAATCTTCAAGGAACTTAAACAAATTTACAAGAGAAAAGCAAAATAAAAAAGGCATTTAAAAAATGGGCAAAGAACATGATCAGACACTTCTCAAAAGAAATTTATGTGGCCGACAAACATATGAGAAAAACCTCAGTCTCTCTGATCATTGGAAACTGCAGATAAAAACCACAATGAGATACCACCTCACACCAATCAGAATGGCGGTTCTTAAAAAGTCAAGAAACAATGAACATTGGTGAGGCTGTGGAGAAATGGGAATGTTTTTACATTGTTGGTGGGAATGTAAATTAATTCAACCATTATGGAAGATAGTGTGGTAATTCCTCCAAAACCTAATCAGAGAAACCATTTGACCCAGAAATCCCATTACTAGGTATATGCCCAGAATCATTCTACTCTAAAGATAGGTGAACGTATATGGTTCATTGCAGCACTATTCACAATAGCAAAGAAATAGAATCAACCCAGATGCCCATCAATGATAGACTGGATTAAGAAAATATGCTACATATACACCATGGAATACTATGCAGCCACAAAAAAAGAATGAGATCATGTCTTATGCAGGGACGTAGATGGAGCTGGATGCCATCATTCTCCACAAAATAACACAGGAACAGACAAACAAACACTGCGTGTTCTCACTTATAAGTGGGAGCTAAACAATAAGAATACATGTACATAGGGAGTAGAACAACATACACTGGGGCCTGTTGTGGGAGCAGGAGGAGAAAGAGCATCAGGATAAATAGTTAAGACATGTGGGGTTTAATACTTACGTGATGGGTTGATTGGTGCAGCAAACCACCATTGCACATATTTACCTATGTAACAAACCTCTATGTCCTGTACATGTATCTCAGAACTTAAAATTTTCCAAAAAATTGGCATGACCTTTTCCTCTGAGCATTACTCTAAAATTACCATATCAAAAAGTTGATCAGAAAACACAGAGGTACCTAGTTCCTAGTTATAACATCTTTAGATTGGAGCATATTCACAGACATTGCAATGAAAAACTTAGAGTACATTTTTGCTTGTTAATTTTTATTTTGTTGTGATTGAATCATGAATATTGCTACCATATATTTGTTATGTTGGTGACATTTTAGGAGAATAATGAAATATTTCTGGACTAAATGGTTTACAAGACAGAGACTCCATAGAAAACTCTTACCTGATTCCTGATATTTAAAGTCAGTACAGGGGTTCTTAACTTTGCATGAACAACTAAGGTTAACATGGGAAGTTTCACTGTCAATAAACCCTTTGAAATTTGAAGTGCTTTTATTCTAAAGAGAAAAATTATGTCATATTTTCAAAGACCTGTGCCAAAAAAATCTAAGAATCACTACTCTAGTCACATGTTCCATCCTATATTTTGAATCAAGTAAATTACCAGCTCTTTTAAGAAATTTAAAATTATTCTTTTTATAACAGATATGGGTAAGTATTGCAAAACTGCTAAAAAATTTTGCAGAAACTCTGCTTGTGTTACTTTGTATTACTCTTTAAGGTAAAAGGCAGTAATTGGGCCCATCTTACCAAGTTACATGTAACCTAAATTTTGGAGCAGATTTAATTCCCTGGTATATACCAGAGTACAGATAAGTAGAACCAAAGAATAAAACCCCAGATGGCTAAATCCAGAATCATAGGAGACTTTAAAAAACAAGAAACTAAATCTGGAGGTTTATCTAGGTATGAACTTAATTACAAATACCAGAAATTTTTAACGTAAACCACAGAATTTGATGGAAATTTATTAATGTAGATTATGAGGTGTTTATATAACTGAGGAACTCAATTCACAAAAAGAAAATAGAGGGGGTGAGACAATGACAGATATTCCTTCAGTATGTCTTCAATAACAGAATTTTTAGAAAAAAAATCCTTACTCTTTTAGTTTAACAGATTGCTTTGTCAAAGCATTTAAATGGGAGGTGAAAGAGCTACTCTTCAAAAATAGTTAGATCATAATGTAATAATAAGATGTACAAGAGATAGAGGTGAAATTGGAAGGCAAGGTGGGCAGAAGAAACATTATAAATATGCCTAAGGAAAAGGAACTTAATGAAAATTGGCAGTGGCTCTCTGGCCAGTATAGAAAAAGTTATTTTTTAAAAAGGAAGAGCTCTAGAGAAAGTTATTAATTCTCAATGGGGAAGAATATTCCCTTCACTTTTCAGGATTAGAAGGATTATTTGATGCAAAGCCAGAAGTTGAAAGCTGGCTAAGAAGCCTGTGATGACTTCATGGCTCATAAATTCTCAGAAGGCAGCAACTA